GGCAGTTGAATGTGTAGATAGCCAAGTACCTCAATAAAGTTACAAGGATATAAATGAATATGCAAAAGTAGCTTATTCGATACAAAATTATGTTTTAATCAACAAGAAAATTACTCATACATAGATATGAAACTTATAGCATAACCAAAAAATATTATAATCATAAAAAGCAAAGGGTTAATAAACTTTTGCCACATACATCAAAACATTAAAAAAGATTGGGAGAAGAAATATTTATTTAATATAATTAAGATTTGTGGAAGATTACGAATTTAGACAAAAGAAAAAAATTAGAAGAAATCATTTTATTGGTTAAAAAAATTTAATAATTTGATCTTTCATATATTATTTGGGAGGTGATTCTCTAAAAAATGCTTGTGTCATCTCTAGAATGACTTTCACACATTTTTGACATGGCACAAATTAAATTTGATATCCCTTATAAAATGTATTTTGGTTAGTATTCTAATTAATTTTTAAATTGACATTTTCTTTGTACCATATATATAATCTTATTATGGAATTTAAATATACTAGAGATGTAATTAACTTTGAGAAACTAATTATCACTTAAAAGATTACATTATAATTTTTGTCATTAGGTGGGGATAAATACAATTTTTTGGATGTAGTAAATTTAACAATATTCTATAAAAATATGATTTTAATACGATTATTGATAATATGTGAAAAATATAAACTAAATAGATTTTGAACCTCCAAACGGAAAATTATAATGGTATAAATATTCAGAAAAAGATCAATAAAATACATTACTAAATTGTAAAAAATAAAAACATATATAAATATATATTTATTTTTGTTTTCCGCATATTTTGCGGGGAATCACCTAGTAGTAGTAGGTAAATGTTGAGTATTGAAGCGGCTTGAAATAGCATCTACCTCAGTAGAGTTCAAGAAAAACAAATTAACTTTTGTTCTCAACCTATAACTTCCTTCTTCAGTTGAGATGTAATACTAAAAAAAAGGACTATATGTACAACTTATAGGTTCGTGACATGCATTAATGATTGTAATCTTGGAAGGACTTAATCAAATTCCAGCTACAAGACGTGTATGATGTAATTTTTCAATCGAATAAATAAACAATAAATAGGACAGAAGCGAATGATCTCTAACGCGTCTTTCTTAAGACCAAAGTTGTTACAACTTATGTAGCAAAAAACAAAACATATTCAACGCTTCTGCTTGCTATGATTGGATCAAACAATAGAAAGAAAAAAAAAACAAATAGAAAATCAATTTAAATCCCAAGAAAAAAGACCACTCTGAACAAACCTATCTAGAATTTTTTTTGTGTGTTTTTGGATRGCCTAAAGATATTATTTACATCTTATGTTAAAAATTAAAAATAAAGAAACTCAGTACCGTTCCCCTCCGGCCTCGTTACGCATTGGTGAATTCAGTCCGTTTCTCAAATTTAACCGATGGTTTCGTGCGGTATGCGCGGGAGACCGCGAGTTATAATGGTTGCGAGTGTTTTGAAGACTTGTTAGTCGAACATCGGGGCTTGGTCTGGTAGGAGAGGGAGAGACCGTGTACGTGAATGTCCCAATAGGAATATCACTGTTGTAATCTTTGATTTCTTGGAGGATTGACACGACTGTGCTTATGCATGGCCTGTTCTTTGGTCGGTAGCTTAGACACTGGTAAGCCAAAGCAGCTGCCTTTCGTGCTCCCGTCTCTGAGTACTGACCTTCAAGCCTCGGGTCCATTATTCTCCCGAGTTTACGTGGCTCGTTGAGCATTGGACGAGCCCAGTCAACGAGGTTTTGTTCCCTTGTTGATCTCTTTTTGTCCGTTGATCTTCGACCCGTCAATAGCTCAAGCAACACTACCCCAAAGCTGTACACATCACTCTTTGCAGTTAGATGACCTGTCATTATGTATTCTGGTGCCGCGTACCCTTGCGTGCCCATTACCCGTGTTGATACATGTGTCTGGTCACCTTCTGGTCCATCTTTCGCTAACCCAAAGTCTGAGAGTTTCGGTGTGTAATCCTGTTACAAAAACCAAAAGATTAGAACTCCATTTAGATCCAACAATGAATGGTAACAAAGGATGAAAACCGCTTTTATCCAACGTAATGTGGATAGAAAGAGAAAAAACATGTCCCACTACAACCAGGTTAGGATCTCACATCAAAATCAACATTAATATACTAAAGGTATGCATTACCATGAGGTACGGTCTCCATATTCATTGTCAATTAATTTTGAATTCAAGCTCAGTTAATCACAATCCGCTTTAAAAATAAAAATGCCTAGTTTGCTTGGTACGTTGTTTCAAACCCTTATAATAAGATCAATAAAGAAGAATTTTGAGAGACTTGGATGATGCTTACAGAATCTAACAAGATATTAGAGGCCTTGAAATCGCGATAGATGACAGGCTTCTCGGCTTCATGTAGAAACTGCAAACCCTTTGCAGCTCCATGAGCGATCTTCATCCTCGTTGACCATGGTAGCGATACAGAATACCCTGCAAACCATTTTCATCAATTTCCAGTTTAAATAAGGAACTAATCATTTGATGATTACAATAAGGAGTCAAAACTCACTTCTAAAGAGTTGAGACTCTAAACTACCGCGAGGCATGAACTCATAGACGAGTAATCTATGTTCTTCCTCGCAGCAATACCCGATCAGCTTCACCAGATTCGGATGCTTTAAATGCCCTAGGAATACAACCTCCGTCTGAAAATTACATTAGACGACATTTAGTCTCAATGTTTTTGTGTCCCAAGCACAATAAAATTTAAAAGAAATGAGTGTACGGACCAGCCACTCTCGGTGACCTTGAAGGCCTTCAAGATCGAGCAGTTTAACGGCGACGGGTTGAGCCTTAAGACCAGGACGGAGCCTGTCGTCGATGAAACCCTTGTGAACCGGACCAAACCCTCCTTCACCGAGGAAGTTGCTGGAAGAGAAGCTCTGTGTGATAACTTTGAGCTCGGCAAGTGTAAACTCGTGGAGGTCCGAGCCAGCGAGAGAGATCGATAGATCTTCAGACAAGGTCGTAGAACTTGGATTGCTTATGTCTAGGATCGATAATCTAAGAAACGATTTCTGTTTGGTTATTACACCACCACCATCTTGATATTTCTTTGCCTTTTTTGATGAATATATGTTGTCTGGATCTTGGAAACAAATAACCATTAATGATCTCCAAGATAATTTCTTCTTCACCGCCA